GGGGGGGGTTAGGAGTCCCTCCGTAGCCGAGGGACTCAAGGGAAGCCTCCCTCCCGGGAGTCAGTCGGTCCCCTGGCAGCCCTGCGGGGCAGTCCCTGCAGGGACCGAGGCACAGCCCTCCTCACAGGGGGCCCCTGCCAGCCAAAGCCTCGCCTAGGGGTGGATGAAAGCACCCCCCCCCCCCCCCCCCCCCCCCCCCAGAAGCGGAAGGCAGGAACCTTCCCCTCCCCTCCCCTTCCCGGCCTGGGGAAGCGTCCGCCCCTGCCAGGCCCTCGGAGGGGGGGCCCCTCTCCCTCCCTGCTCCTGGACCCTCCGCTGGGGAGAAGGGAGCTCCTGGGGCTCAGCCTTGCGGGGGGGGGGGAAGGAGCTGCCCCCCCAACTTCCACCCCCTGAGGGAGGGGCCAAATCTCTTCTGCAGGTCCAGAGCAACTTGGGAGACTTCCAGTTCCTCTTCATCGACCTGGCCATCATTTTGGTGCTGGTCTTCACCAGTGAGTAGGACAGGCTGGGGCCGCTGGGTTGGGGCTTTGTGCTGGGGGAGCCAGCGGTCTCTGCCCCCTGCCCCCAGGAGGAGCATCTGGGGCTCTGGATCCCCTCCCTGGCTGCAGAGAGATGGGGGGGCTCTGGGTCCTCCCCCTCCTGGCCTGTGGCTTCCTTGAGGGGCCCGGCCAAAGGCTTTTGCAGGGGGGGTGGGCAGGTGGAGGGCCCCACCTCACTCTTGGCAACCTCCACTAGTTTGCCATTGCAAAGGAGCTCAGCCAGTCTCTTCAGTCCCAAGACTTTGGCTGCCCTTCTGGTGGCCTGTGGGCAGCCCCCCCCCCGCCCCGCTGACTGCCCCTCCTCTCCCTGCAGTGAGCCTGAACCCGGCATGGAAAGAGCTCGGGGCCCAGCGGCCGCCCTCTGGCCTCATCTCGGGGCCCCTCCTCTGCTCCGTCCTCTCCCAGATCCTCATCTGCCTTGGCTTCCAGGTCCTGGGCTTCCTCTGGGTCAAGCAGCAGCCCTGGTACGAGCCCTGGAGCCCCTCCTCAGAGTAAGTGGCCGGCGCGCTTGGGGTCACCCTGCAGCCCTGGGGACCCGGCCCCTCTCCAGCCGGCTGGCCCGCCGCCGCTTCCGTAGCTGTTCAGAAGCCGTTTCAGGGGCTGCGACTTTGGGAGGGAGAGCTGCCTGCTGGGATTCAGGCCCCCCGCATTCTGAGCCTTCCCCCACCAGGGGGCAGCAGGACATCATTGAAAGTTGAGCATTTTCCTGTCCCCTGGTGGCCCTCGGGACTTCTGCCTGCATGACTAAACTGTGGAACTTTCTAGGTTGGCCGGGGGGGGGGGGGCTTGTTCCTCCCCTCCTTTTCTCAGCATTTTCCTGCTTTGAGCATGGGAGAGGCTCCTTCCCTCCTGCCTCCAACCCCAGAAGGGGGAAGAGAGGCGCCTGGTTGGGCCCCGGAGAAACCAGGGGGGGCTGGGCTACGGCAGGCCTCCCCCCGACCCAGCAGGAGCCTGGGTGCCTAGCGCTGAGGCGCTGCTCTTTGGCCAGCCGGAAACCCCGTCCTCCTCCAGAGACGCGGAGAAGGGCCGCTCCGAAGGGAGGGCCACGGAGCCTATGGGCGCTCAGCGCTCCTTCCACGCGCCTCAAAGGCTCTGGCTGGTGGGGCGGTGGCTTTGCCCCCCAGGAGCTGCAAAGGTGCTCAGAGGTGGTCGGCAGGTGAGACCTCACGGCTGCAGCAGGAGCAGGAGCCCTCCTGACGGCTGCTGGTCTCGGCAGGGTTCAAGAGCAGCCAAAACCCTCCCCCCAGGTGGGCCCCCCAAATGGGCTGCTCCCCCTCCCTCCCTTCCCCTGGCAGAGGAAGGCCCGGCCTGTGGCGGGAGGGGAGCCGGGGCAGCCTTGGCAGCTTGCTTGTTCGTTCAAAGGCAGAGCATTTTGATCCATCGGAGGCTGGGGAGGGTCGGGCCGGTTGGGGGCCTAAGGGGGCTCTCCGTCCCCCGGTTGTCCTTTTGGAACGAGGGTCCCTGGGGTCTTGGCAAAAAGGAGGAGTCGAATAGCGCTTTTTAGCCGATTTTATCACACGGCAGAACCTGCCCAGAACTGCCCCTCCTCGTTCACCGGAAGCCGTGCAGTGGCCAGGTGGATGCAGCCCCACTTAAAGCGCGCGGGGGGGGGGTGGGTGGGGGGAATTCCCTGCCTGGGAGGGGGTGGAAGGCTTGATGCGGCTTCTCGCTCAGGGAGGCCTCAGCCGAGGAAAGGGAGCGCAGAGCCTCCCGACGGGGGATCAATCCTGGCCTCTGGGGGGAGGCCGGGGGAGCCACCCCGCTCCCCTTCCCCCCGTACGGGCGCCTCCCACTGGGGCCTCCGTGGGGCTGGGAGGGTGAGGTGGCAGGCGGGGCGGGAGAGGGGAACCGGCCGGCTGCTTCAGAAGGGCCTTGGGGGGGGGAGAGGGGGGGGGGGGGGGCTCTTCCCCCCCCCCCCAATGAAGACCAGGCTTCCCTGCTTAGCCTGCAGAAAGCCCATCTAAGGGCCCTTCAGGGTCTGTGGGACGGCTGAGCCCAGGCCCCCGGCCTCCCTGGGCCTGCCTGCCTGCCTGCCTGAGGAGCTGGAGGCCTGCGGAGGGAGCGGGTGGGGTGGGGGATCAGAGCCCACCCTCCCTCTCCCTTTCCCTCCAGCGCCTGCAACCTCTCCGCCGCGGCCAATGCTTCCCAGCCGGGCAACGTCTCCTATCACGACGAGCACAACATCCGGAACTACGAGAACACCACGCTCTTCTTCGTCTCCACCTTCCAGTACCTCATCGTGGCCGTGGTCTTCTCCAAGGGCCGGCCCTTCCGCCAGCCCTGCTACAGGAACTGTACGTGGGCCCCCCCGGGGGAGGGCCGCTTGGCGGTGGGGGGCCTCGCCCCAGGGAAGCGCTGGCTTGCAAAAGGCACCGGGGGTGGGTGGGTGGGAGCAGTCAGGGGGTCTTCTGTCCTCCCTCCCTCCCTCCCTCTGTGCCGGGGAGGCAGCTGACCCCCCCTCCCCCGTTCCCCCCCCAGACCTCTTCGTGGTCTCCGTGGTGGCCCTGTACGCCGTGGCCCTGGCTCTCCTGCTGCACCCGGTGGTGGCCATTGAATCCTTCTTGGAGGTAGGAGGGGGGGCTCTGGGGGGAGGGCTGGCGGGGAACTGGGGAGGGGCTTGCTGCCCTGCCCCGGCGTGGCCCTGAGGGGGCTCTGGTTGCTCCACAGCTGGTCTGCGTGCCTCCCGCCTGGCGGGTCTCGGTGCTCCTCCTGGTCCTGGCCAACGCCGCAGTGTCCCTGCTGGTGGAGGTGAGTCAGGGGAGCCGCTTCCGCGGAGGGGAGGGGGGCGCCTGGCGGCCCTGCTGGACCCGAAAGGGGGGGGGTCCTGCTTAGCCCCCTTCTCTGAGATGGGGGGGGCTTCTTCACGCCTCGCTTTCGGTGGGATTTAGTTGAGCCCCGGGGACTCTTCGGGACGGGGGGGGGCTCAGGTGCTCCAGAGACACACACACACACACACACACACACACACACACACACAGAGTGTTGAGAGTGCAAGGGACTCTCCGCCTGGGCCCCAGGTGTGCTGGGCAGGAACGGTTGCCATCTGCATGCGCCTGTCTGACAGCTCCCCCCCTCCCCCCCCTCTGTCCTCCTCTGCACTGACTTAACGCCCCGACTTTGCTCCGGCCCCGGAGCCCCTCCTGATTGCGCCTTCTCGCCTCTCCTGCTTCTTGGATCCAATCACAGAACTTTCTCCTTGACACGGTCCTTGGGAAGCTCCTCTTCAGCCGAGACAAGCCAGGGGAGGACCGCCTAGCTTCCTCTTCCTCCTCCTCCTCCTCCTCCTCCTCTTCCTCCTCCCACCACCACCCGTCTCAGGTTGGAACTCTGCACATTCCCCCCCCTCTTCAAGCATGGAGCAGCCCCCTCCGAAGGCCGGGGTGGGGGGGGGGAGGGGGGAGGCTCAGCTGGCGGTGGAGAAGAGCTTGGGCTGCCTGGGGGGCGCTTGGCAGGGGCCCCATTGCCATGGGGAGAGCTCGGGGGGGTCTTGGCTTTGCTGCAGTCCCATCCCCTCACCCAGAAGCTCGGGGGGGGGCAGAGAAAGTGGCTGGCAAAGGGGGGGTGGCGAGGGGGTTGGGCTCTCGGTCTCCTCCCCCAGCTTAGGGGGCCTGGAGGCAGCGGCCCCCCTCAGCTCCCGTGCGGGCAGGGGACGGTGCTCGGTCGGCCTGCAGCTACGTTGGGGCCCCCTGGGGAAAGAGGGGGGGAGTGGGGGGGGAGGTTAGGAGGCACAGGTCCGACTGCTCGGGAAGGGCTCCCCCCCTTCTCCCCTTGTCTGAGGGGCCACGGGCAGCCTCCCACCCTCTCTCTCTCTCCCTAGGAGGGGCTGGACCGATGCTGTGGGTGCGCCCTGCCGGGGCTGCTGCGCCTGAAGAAGAGGCCGCCCAAGGCCCGCTACGTGCACCTGGCCCAGGAGCTGCTGGTGGACCCGGAGTGGCCACCCAAGGGCCGCACCACCACGGAGGCCCCCGGCCCCTCCTGCCGGAACGGCTCCTGCCAAGGGATCAGCATGACGTAGCGGAGGGGGCCCCCCTGGCACACGCTGGGGCTGCCCACGGCCTGAGCTCTCTGCTGCTGATGGGACGGACAGACAGGCTCCCCTCCCCCCCCGCGCCCCCCCCCCGGTCGATGCCAGTCTTCCTCCCACCTGCCTCCCTCCTGAGCTGAGCACCTGGAAGGGACGGGCCTGCCTGGCAACCCTGGACACCGTCAAAGGACCCCTCCCCATTCTCGTCTTCCTCCTGCCAGAGCTCTCTGCAGGCGCAGTCAGGCTGCCTTCCGCCCTCGGAACCAGCTCTGGGCTCCTCCACTCCGGGAGCCCCTGGCCGGCTGCAGCAGGTTGCCTTAACAGGCGGGGGCGCTTGGCACCATCCCTGCTCAGCGCAGCCGTGGCGGCTCCGTCAGTGGAGCCGAAGCCTTTCACTGTGACCGCATCGCTCGGGGCCAGCTGCCCCTGGAGGCCAGGCCTGCCCGAGAGGAAGAGCGGATCAGGGGGACGGAAGGGGCAGCCACTCCCGCTGGACGGCCTTTTGAAGGCCACCCACGACCTCCCCCGACTGCAGGTCCTGCGCAGAGGGTGGCTGTGCTGAGACTGCAACTAACTCCTCCACAACGGTGCTAATAGTTGGGGCGCAGCCACGGCCGGGAAAGGCTGCTGGAGAAGCGGCTGCAGTCGGGCCTTGCCCCCCCCCCCCCCCCGCCGCGTGCCAAGGAAGGCGGCCCACGCAGCGCCTGCTTCCCCCCCTTCTGCCCGTCCCTGAGGGACCAGTCTGCCGCGAGGCTCCTTCGACCCTGGAGCTGTGCTTGCCCAGCACCTCTCGCTTCAGGGAAGCGGTGGCTGCCGCCGGAGGACGGGGGACCCTCTTGGGGTTTTCCGAAAAAGGGGCCGCCACGACTGCCAGCTGCGCCTTCCCGCTCTCCTCCCCCCTCCCCAGCCAGGCAAAGAAAAGGGGGCTGGTCAGCAGGCCTTGGGGGACCCCCGGGGAAGCGCCCGCCCAGAGCCTGCGCGGGGTCTTCGGGCTAAAAGCAATATTGTGTTGAAGCCGGTCTCCCCTCCGGAAGGGAAGTGGTGCATCTTGGATCTGTTCCAAGGACGCTTAAGATTGCGAAGTTGGATGATTTTAAATCATTATTTTCTTATACTTCCTTGGAGGCTTGTGAATTCAGGTGAACCCTTTGCTAACTTGGATTCAGAGTGGTTCGTAAATTATTTGAGTCAGACTTACCCCTAAAGCTGTAAGTTAGGATTGTATATATGGCCAATTAAATATTTTATTATTTATGCATATCTCTAAAGGACTTGCTTGCTCAAGGAAAGAGCAACTCTTAAATTATACTTTCTAAAATATCCAGATTTTAAAATAATATATATACACACAGACACACACACCTCCATCCCTCAGGGTTATTTTTTTATTAACGCATTGATTTCTTCCCAAATAACTAATGATGAGGCCGCTGGGTGTCGCAGGTGGGCAGGACACCCCCCACCCCTCGGGAGCTGCCTGTAGCCTCAGTGCTCCTGGCAGCTGACACGGCAGCCCCCCACCCCACCCACCCACCCACCGGGCGGCCCCCACCGGGCGCCCCCCCCGACTCCAGAGTGAATGGGGAGGGGGCAGGAATCCTCTCCAATATCGGGGTCTTTGTGTTCTGCTGGAAAGATGGCCGCCTCAAAGAGGCCAGGACCCCCACCCAATTCCCTCTGGCAGCGTTTCCAATTGGCCATTTGAGAAACGGGGCCTCCCTCGTTTTTATTTATTTTCCCAGTGGAGAAGTGGTTTTCCTTCGCTGGGTGATTTTATCTACTGTAGTATAATATGGCTGCATATCAGTAGTTACGAGGTGAAGAATAATTCTAAATGCTGCAAATGATCTTATTCTCAAAAGCTTTCTTTGATTGTCACAGACTTAAAAGGGCTTCATGTCTTTAGCTTGCAAAGATTAAATTCTAAAATCAAATGTTTGTATATATGATGGAAAAGTTGATTTAAAGGCTCAGCTACGATCATTTTAGGGCATGGATATGTCCAAATTTTTTTAAAAAAACTGTATAAATATGCAAACATTTGGATAAATTATGTATTCTCTGCCACCAGCACCTCAGGTCAGGATTGGCAAGATCTCATCTTAAAATGTTTGAAAAATACTTTTATTTAACAAGTGGCTCCACATAAAAAATTATTTTGCTGGTTTTTATAATGGTACCCAGTTGTAATAAAGACATTTTATGTAATTGTAGTAAACGGCCTTGTAAAATCCCACTACTCTTGGAGCAAATCTGGTGAGCGTGCCCTCCCCACGGTCCTGGGCTGCCCTGGCCAGCCCCGCTGCCTTCCCGCTCCGGCCACTGCTCTCTGTGGGCCAGGGCATCCCGCAGAGGCCACAGCCCCGGAAAGGGGGGATGCTGCATTGGGGGACCGGATCATGACACGAAGGCCCCCCTGAGCAGTGGGGTTGCCTCACAGGGTGGAAAATCCAGCCAGGGGAGGAGGAGGAGGAGGAGGAGGAGATGCAAAGATCCAGCTAAAAAAATGGCTGGGTGAGGTTTCCACACACCGGGAAAGCCCTGCCCCCCACTTCCCCCCCCCCTCCGGGTATCTGCAGAGGCCCAGGGTGGAGGAGCCTCCAACATGGAGCGCTGGGCACTGCCTGCAAACTGGCACCTTGCCAGGACCACGTAGACCCTGAGGCTGGGCAAGCAGAGGGCAGGGGGGGGCGCTTTAGGGCTTCCCTTTGCAAAGGAGATGGTGGCAGTCAGGAGGCCAGGCGGTCCCTGCTCAGCCCCCTCCCCAGAGATGGCAGCCACAGTTGCCGGCAAAAGTTTGGACATCTGCTGTCCAGGAGTCACTGGGAGGTGGCCTTGAGCCACACCCCACCCCCCGCTTTGGAAAAGCCACTGGGGGGGACATGAGCCCCAGCCGAATGGACCAGGAGCTACTCTGGAGCCAGGGCAGAAGGCCGGCTGTGACGAAAGTCCCCCCATGCAGGAAGGCCAACGTTTCCTCTGGGTCAGACTTCCAGGCCTATTCCCAGTCACCCAATTGTTTGGTGCAAAATCTGACGTGACCCAGTCGTGATTCGGGCAGATCTTCCCAAACCTGCGCGGCTGGAAGAGCAGAGGCCGTGAGCGCTTTGGTTGGTAAGTGAATGTGCGTTGACGTGCAGATCTTTCCATTTGGCTGGGAAGTCAAGAAATCCGCAGCAAATGTTGGAGAGATTAGATGAGGCAACGAGAAGAATGGACAGGAACCCAAAGTTAATCTAGGATTATATAATTGCAGTATATAAAGTGATCTAGGATAGGCTTCAAAGTTACGTTGAGCAGCAAAGAGGAACAACTGCAAGTCTATGGCTGGATGGCAGGACTCCGGTGTTTGGGGCGGGTTACGTGTCACGGGGCTGGATGGCCGGGGCCTCGGGGTCATTTCTTCATTTCCTGCCTCCCGATTTGTGAGGTTACTACTTTCAGGCAGGCAGGCAGGCAGCACGGCTGTGTTCATTTCCACTTGGAGATGCTCAGCGGGATGGGGGCGCCTGACTTGAGCAGTCCCAGCTGCCCCCTTCCCTGCTACTCCCAGCTGGCACCACCGGCTGAAAGGGCAAAAACCCGGCACAACCCATGCCGAGTCAGGAGGGCCCTTGGGCAGCCGCTTCGAAGAAGAGTCCAGCTTGGTGATGTGGACAGGCACCTCCCTGGTGGTGTCAACGGCAGAGGGGCCTTGGAATCTGGGTGGAGGAAGTGGTGACGTGGAGCTTCCAGAAGGATCCCTGCCTGGAAAGGCTCCATGCGGCTAACCGGGGGGGGGGGGGGGGGGGGGGGGGGGGGGGGGGGGGAGATGCTCCAGACCGCAGCAGCAGCAGCAGCAGCGCCTGCCCGGGGAAGGATCCAGTCAAGGAGGACCAAACAGCAGCAGCCCAACCACAGCAGCTTCCCTGCCAGGGAACACATGGCCCAGGATGCTGCTTCTCTGCCCCCCCCGGGGGGGAGGGTGCCGGGCACCATCTGTCCTGCTCCAGGGGGAGCCTGCAGGACCCCCAAAGGGAGCTGCTCCAACCCCTCTTCCCTGACAGAGAGGCCCCCTCTCAGAGCGAGCAAAACCCTCACTGGAGATCCAGCCCCGAGAGCCGTTGGGCAGTGTGGCACAGGATCCAGCCCTCCCCAGAGAAGGTTTTCCGGAGGAGAGGCAGGGGCTCCTGCTCACCCACAGGGCGGCCTTCCTCCTCCGTGGCCCTGCCTGGCTTCTGGGCTCCTGCTGCTGGGCCTGGGCCTGGGCACAGGGAGGCTGCTGCAAACCCTGCCCCAGCAGGACCAGGGCACCAGGCGCTGGCCAGACTGGCACTGTCAGATGCAGGTCAACAGTTACCCAGCACAGCCTTCAAATAACACGGTTGGTTTTGCCGGGGTGCCATCGCGCCAGCCCAGCCGATTTGGCCAATTAACTTTTCCAAGCAGGAAAATATTGCTTCTAGACATCCAAAGTGCCATTTGGGGCCTGTGGGAATCTGCTTTCCTTGGAGGAAGGAGGGGAGGGGCCCTTTTTCCTTTGCCCCCCCCTTCCCCCCCCGAAAAAGAGGATTGTTGGGGTCTCTGCTATGGCTGGGGGTCACACGAAACTCCCCTTTCCTTCTCGGCCTCTCTAATCCTCAGCCTCTGTCTTTTGCTTTGTTCTCATTTAAAGGAATTTTGAACTCAGCTGAGGTCTTTGGGACATCCTGTTGTTGAAGTTGTATGTCATGTTAATGCTGCTTTCATCTCTGGTTTTATGGTGTTGATTTTGACTGGCTGTGTGTGGATTTGGCCGGTTACCGCAGGCTCCGTTGAGAGCTATTGGCTGCCGGTGACGAATCAGGCTTGGAAGCCACTACTGGGAACTGTGGGGGGCTGTCAGATTTTGAGCTAGCCTCCCCCAACTCTCCCGCTGCAGACTCTGACACGGAACTGCTGATCCCAGGAGTTTGGTCAGGAAGCTGCCTGTGGACTCTCTGGATGAAACGCTGACTCTGCAAGCGATCTGCAGCCCGTCGTCCTCAGGAGGAAGCCGGGAAGGGCCCGAGGAAGGCGCCCAGGAAGACGTGTGTCTCCTGCTGCCGCCTCTTTGCTGGCTCCCCTTTCAGGGGTCACCTTTTCCCCTACAGGACTAGCCCCCCCCCAGCTCCCCCCCTCCCACGTGAGGCCTGGAGCATCCCAAGGGATGCTGCCTTACGGGGGGGGGGGAAGAGAGAAGCTCCACTTGGGGGACACTTCGACACCCCTCCTCTTCCTGTGGGGTGGCTTCTGCAGAGCAGAGCACCCAGACAGAGGGGGGGGCAGCTAGGGGGGGGGGCATGGTTGTCTTGTTGGGCTATCTGAAGAGCACAAGGCCTCGGCTGGCTTACCTGGGCAGCCCCCACTGCACCTGAGGCCTCTGGATCCGGGGGAGAGGAAGCCGTCCTCAGGGCAGCTGCCCTCACAAGGCCTGCTTTCCTGGGCAGTTCAGATCCCACCCCTGCATTGCCTTCCTGTCATGCTATCCTTGGTTGGTATTAACTTTGGATAACGGTGCATCTCCTCAGCGTGTGTGAACCAAGCCCCTGCAGGATGCAAACCCAGGAAATGGCCGGTTCCATTCTCCAGGGGATGCCCAGGCCTTCCTTGTCCTCTGGTGGGAATGCTGGTTAAAACTGCCCGGAAGGAGGGCCAGGGGAGTCTTCCAGGGGGAGATTCTCCACGGCAGGAGCTGCAGCCGATGGAAGAGGAACAAAAGGCGGACAGGTTCACACTGAGGCCAGAGAGTTCCTACCTTGCCTAGATTCAGACTAGATGACCTCTTAAGGACCCTATGACTTTAGGAGGAACTAAGTTGGCAGTCAGGCAGACTCTCCCCACCTGGGTTGCCTGCATTCCCTCCGACTGATGGACAGAGGCACAAGTGAGTCATCTTTGAGGCCTTCCTCCCTTCCTCCCTTCCTTCCTATCGGTTGTGTGAATTCAAGTCCCAGGTCGGCATTTTAAGAGACCCAGGAGGAGGGGGGAGGAGGAGGGAGGGAGGCTGGCTCTCGGGCGGGTCTCTTTCCCCGCTCCGCCCGCTCCCTGCTCGGTTGCAGCAACCTGTGACGCTTGAGGGGAATCGCTGGTGCTTTAAATACAGGGAGGAGGAAGGCGGAGGGTTGCAGCGGAGCCAAAGCGGGGCAGCCCTCGATACGGAGCCGCCTTTCCTCGGTCTTTTCCCCGGGTAAGTGCCTCCGGTGCCTCTGCAACAACGGCGGCCTCTTCCCAGAGCTGGCTGCGGGCCGGGCCGGTGGGTGGGGGAATTCTTCCTTTCGTCTTTCCTTTCCCTTTGAAGACCCGAACCGTTAGACTGCAAACCAGTCGCCAAACGGAGAAAGCGGTTCAAACAATAAGATCAAAGGTGATCGGAGCCCCCCTCTCCGAGTTGATGGGCTCGGGGGTGCGCGTGGGAGGGAGAGCGATGCTAAATTCCTTCTGCGAACGAGACCAACCCCCCCCCCAAACCGCTCCTGAAGTGCCGAGGAGGGCGGGACTCGGAGACAAGCCCGTCCCGCACCGCGAACTGCTTCCATATGGCCGAGGCGAGGCTGCGGCGTGGCCAGATTCCTTCCTCGGAGAACCGGCGGGGGGCTGATGTGGCCCAGCTGCCGCCGCAGGCAATGTTCTGGCTGGGAGGAGGCGCGCACGTCCGGCGCCTGCGGGTCGGGGAGGAAGGGGCAGCCCGGGATTCCTCCCAGAGAGATGCTCTCGAGAGCGCGGCGGGGGGTGGGGGTGGGCGGCCTGGAAACGCCCCTCCCTCGGAGCTCTCCGGGAGAGGAGGGGGATGCTGGAGATACCCTGGCCGAGAACACCGGCAGCCGCCGGGGCCTCCCGCCTCCGCCGAATTCCCCTTCCCGGGGAGTGGTTCCCAGATGGGGGCTCTCTCCCCGCGACCCGATTCCGCTCGCGCACACAAACACGCAGCTGGGGTGGGTGGGACACCCTGCCTCTTCACAGAGCGCGCTGGCTGAGTTGGCACAGCGCGCTCCCTGATCCCGGGCAGACTTCGCAACTGGGTTCGCGCAACAGGCAAACTTGGTGACTCTTCACTTGGATTCGGGGCCTGCTGTGTGAAACGTGGTTTGGGCCGATTCGGGTTCAAGAGGTTTCTGTGCCCAGAGTGCGGCCGAATTCAGGACCCAGATCAAGAGGTTCCTGCGAATGCCGCCGAAGGACAGCGACCCTGGAGCATCGCGGGCGAAGGCGAGGGAGGGCTGCGAGGGCCCAGGAGGGCTACCCCGCCTCTCCCGCCCTCTCGGGCCGGCCGGACATCGCGAGCCGAGCGTCTGCACCAACCGCCGCCCCGAGGACTGCTGCTCTTGCGGCTTGGCTCTGCACTCAGCAGCTCGCATGACCTCACCCGTCGCGAATGTGCTCCCGGCGGCGCTGCTGCCCCGATGCCTCCCCCGTCCGCTTGCCCCCTCCCCGGACTAGCGGCAGTCCAAGCTCGGCCTGCTGGGGTGTAATTCGTGGTGGCCGCAAAGGCTTTGCTCAGCGTTTCCAGCGGGAGGCGATTGTAGGAGGGAGGGGACAGCCTGACGGGGAAGGCGGGCGGGCGCGGCCAGTGCCAGGGGAAGGCCTCTGAGGGGGGGGCTTCGGTCTCCGTCGCCCCCTCTCTTGTTCTGCGCTCCGGGAGGAGGCAGCCAGCGACCCTCTGGAGCCCCCGCCAGAGACCGCAACGGCCTCTCCGCCCCATTCTTCTGCCAGAGCCACGCATCGCGTGACAAGGACCGACCCTGTCCTAGCAGGGAAGTTTCGGCCAAGCAGCCTGGAGTGACTTAAGGCGGCCACAGAGCTTGGCCGTCTCCCAGAGAGGAAAGGCGACCCCCTCCCTTGCCCAAAGCTCAGGGGCCCCTCCTCTCAGCAGAGAGCAGGATTGGTCTAGCTAGATGATCTCGCGCGCTTCCCTGCTTCTCCTGATGAGTTTTGCATGAATTGGCCGAGCCAGGCCTGCTGGCCAGAAAGGCCTGGTCTGAATTTCCCCCAGCGAGGAGGAGCGACCCGCAGGAATTGAGCCCCCTCTGCCCCCCCCTTCCTCTGCTGTGGGCAGCCCGGACTGGGAAGAAATGCTGTGGTTTGGCCAGGCCTCAGAGATCGCGGCTGCCCCCCTCCCAGCCGCTTTGCCCCTGCGCCCAAAGCCCGAGACCAAAGGGGCTCTGCGTACGTTGGGGACCAACCACAGGTAGCCCATGGCTTACAACCGTTTGTTTAGTGACGGAAGCCCTGAAAACGAGGACTTATTACCATTTTTCACACTTACAACTGTTGCAGCAACCCCACAATTTGGGCGCTTGGCATCTGGCATGTTCGTCTGTGCCAGGGTCGTCCTGTGATCGCCACTTGCAGCCTTTCCCAGCTATCCTCTGACGAGCACAGGAACCAAGGCTTGCTTGATGACCGAGTGACTTAAGAACTGCACTGATTCGCTTAACAACCGGGGCAAGAAAGATGGGAAAATGGGCGAAACTCAACAACTGTTTTGCTAGGCAACCCGAGATTTTGGGCTCGATTGTAGTCATAGGACTACCTGCATTCTAAACGGAGAAAGAAAGGTGTCTCAGAGATCATCTAGCTCCCGCCCACCCACCCCCGCTTGGAGGGGAGGAAACTTCAACGACATCCCTGATGGACACCCATCCAGCTTCTCTTCTCTGCTGCCGCCCCCCCCGCCCCCCCCCCCCGCCCCGCACGTGACTTTTTTCCTAGCATGGTATATTGGACTTAACGGTTGTCTTTGCTGGTTGTCTTTCCTCTTGCTGATTTCTCCTTGTGGTTCCAGGTTGTCTGGTTCCGTCTGAACGTTGAATCCGTCCTCTAACTGTCCCCTCCTTTTGGCGTTGGGTGCAAATCCGGCAACCCCCATTTTGCTGTAAAGCGGAAGGTCTCCCTTGTTCGGTCGTCTCTGACTCCAGGGGGCGCTGCTCACCTCCGTTTCTTGCCCGAGGAAGCCCCCGTTGTCCCGGAAGGCGCTTTCCGCGATCTTGTCGTACCTATTTATTCGCATCTGCATGCGAGGCGGGCGGGCTGGAACTGGGCAAGAACGGGACCCCTCACCCCGTCACTCAGTCCTCGGGTCTCGAATCCGAGAGGGCAACTTTCCAGCTCGGCTCTGCTGATGGGCAGTTCCCGGGCTTTGGGTTTTGCAACCGCTGCCCACATGAGCATATTCGGGCCCCGCCTTCTCATTCTACTCCAGGGTCTTCCATGGTGAGCAGCAGAGGGGTGGGGGATATACAGGCAGGAGGGGCCCTTGGAGGCCGAGAGCTCGGAAACTGGGCTAGGATGGGGGGGGGCAGGGGCGCAGCAGAGCCACACAGGCAACCTTCCCCCTGCACTTTTGCTACCCTGTAGCAGCCATAGAATGGCATGAATAGAATAGACTTTAGAGGATAATTAGGACTGCAGACCCCTCACATCCCGGACATAAACTGGTTCAACCCCTTCCCTCAAAACGACACTATAGAGTCCTGCACACCAGAACAACTAGACACAAGGGGAGTTTTTTCCTGAAAGCCATCACTCTGCTAAACAAATAATTCCCTCAACACTGTTCAACTATTTACAAAGTGTACACTACTATTACTGTTAATCTTCTCACCACTCCATATCACCCCTCCCCTCCCACTTGTGATTGTAGGACTGTAACTTTGTCACTTGTATCCTTACGGTTTATATTGACTGTTTCCTAGTATGAATTGATTGCTTATTGTACCCTATGACTAGCATTAAGTGTTGTACCTTATGATTCTTGACTCGACGAATGTATCTTTTCTTTTATGTACACTGAGAGCATTTGCAGCAAAGACAATTTTTTTATGTGTCCAATCACACTTGACCAATAAAGAATTATATTCTATATTCTGTATTCTGTATTCTGTTCTAGCAGCTGGGGGGGGGGGCAGCCCGGAAATGGGGGCTGCAAGTGCGATGCCCTGACCCGCTTGGCAAGTTTGCTCAAATTCCCGCGGTTCGATGGCCAAGACGCCCCGGCCAGATGCCCCACCACCCCGGGAAGGCTCCAGGCTGCCAGGAGGGCGTGAGAGGGAGGGGAGAGGGTATTCGCTCCGTGCCGGACAGCTCAGAGTCGCGCTCACGCCGCTTTCTCTTTCTCCGCAGGCACCATGGCGCTCCGCAGAGTCCTGCTCCTGAGCTTCCTGCCGTCTGTCCTGGCTGGCGGCGGCTGCCCCCGCGAGTGCGCCTGCTCCAGGACGGCCCAGGTGGAGTGCTCGGGCGCCGGGATCACGGTGATGCCCGCGCCGTTGCCCGGCAACGCCATGAGCCTACAGGTGGTCAACACGCGCCTGGCCGTTCTGGGTCCCCTGGCCTTCGGGAACGCCTCGCAGCTGCTCGCCCTGCGGATGGAGAAGAACCTGCTGGAGCGCCTCGCTCCCCGCGCCTTCCGGCCCCTGGCGGCCCTGCGCTACCTGAGCCTGGCCAGCAACCGGCTGCAGGAGCTGCCGCCTGACGTCTTCCGGCCACTGGTCCGGCTGGAGGCGCTGCTGCTGTCGGGGAACCAGCTGCGCCGCATCCAGCCGGCTCACTTCGCCGGGTTGAGCGCGCTCAAGGAGCTCCAGCTGCACGGGAACCGTCTGCAGGCCGTGCCTCCCGGCGCCTTCGACCAGCTGCCCAACCTGGCCCGCCTCAACCTGGCCCGCAACCAGCTGGTGCGCCTGCCGCCCCGCCTCTTCACGCCGCTGGCGCGCCTGCAGGTGCTGCGCCTCTATGAGAACCAGCTGAGCGAGCTAGCGCCCCGCGCCTTCGGCGGCCTGGGCGAGCTGCAGGAACTGGCCCTCTACCAGAACCGTCTCCGCCAGCTCCCCGCAGGCCTCTTCGCCGGCCCGCGCAGACTGCAGAAGCTGCTGCTGTCCGGCAACCTCCTGGAGGCGCTGCCCGAGGGGCTCCTGCTGGGGCTGCCCGAGCTCTCGCGGCTCTCGCTCTTCGGAAACAACCTGCGCGAGCTGCGCCCGGGCACCTTCGGCCCGATGCCGCAACTGCGAGAGCTCCGGCTGGCTGACAACCAGCTGGCCTCGCTGCCCGGCCGCGCCCTGGCCAACCTTACCGCGCTGCAGGTCCTGATTCTAAGCAAGAACCGCCTCGGCTCGCTCGCGCCCACGGCCTTCGCCGGCCTCCGGGGCCTCGAGGAGCTCGCCCTGCACTCCAACCGGCTGGCCACGCTGGACGGGGAGCTCTTGCGCGGCCTGGCCTCGTTGCGGAACCTCTCCTTGCACAGCAACCGGCTGGCCGCCTTGCCTGCCCGCCTCTTCCAGGGCACCCCCGGCCTGTGCGCCCTTCAGCTGCAGAACAACTCGCTGGAGGAGCTTCCGGCAGGCCTCTTCGACGGGCTGCCCGAGCTGCGCGACCTCCAACTGCAGGACAACCCCTGGCGTTGCGACCCCGCCCTGCGGTCGCTCCAGCGCTGGTTGCGGGAGAACAGGGCCAGCCTGGGCGGAGAGAGCCGCCACCCCCGCTGCGCCGCGCCGCCTTGGCAGCTGGGCCGGTCCCTGCTGGAGCCGGAGGCCAGCACTTTCGGTCCCGGGACCTCCGCACTGCCCGAGAGCTGGGCAACTTTCAGGAGCCGCACGGAGGCCCCTTCCGAGAGCGAGCCGACGCCGGAGACGCTGTCACCCGGACGCTGGCAGCCGCCACTAGATAGCGAGCCGGGCAGCGCAGAGATCGCGGAGGAGGTCCCGGAAGAGCTCCCTGAAGCGGGGCGAGGGGGAGGCGGGATTTGGGGCCTGACCCGCACCCAGACGGGGGCCGTCGTCACCTGTCTCGTGGTGGGCTCCGCCTTGATCCTGGGGATGGTGCTGGCGGTGGGCGTCTACGGCTCCAGGCGGAAGCGCCCCGTCCGGGCCAAAGCCTAGGTCCGCCATGGGGCTGGCCCGGTTCGCGCCCTTTCCTCCAGCACTCACGCCTTCAGCCGCTCCACCCCGCCGGCCCCGGCACGGGCTCAGCAGCGGACTTGCGCGCCACAGGCTACTAGCCGACTTTTGCCCCGCGAATCTGCGCCCAGACGGACGCTGGCACTCCTTCGCCCGGCGCTTCTTTGAGGCAGGTTGCGCGCCTTCGACCCAGGGACGCCCAGGGCCGGGTTCGCAGCAGGACGGCTAGCAAAGCCTAGCGCTGCCCGGTCCCCACCCGGGAAGTCGGGGGCAGCTCCAGGAACCTTGGAAGAGAGGCCAACCCGGGCCCGCACTTTCTTCACGCAGGCAGGCCGCAAGTCTGGGCTGTTCGAAGGGGCAGGCCCCCCCTGCAAGCCTTCCCGTCTCCAAAAAGGTGCTTGACTCCCGAAACGTTGATCCCAAGGCCGGCCGGGAAGCGGCTTGGGATACCCCGGGGGTGGCGCGCGCTGGCCTGGCCATTAAGCCCGAGGTCCCCCGCTTCCTTCCCAGGCGAGGATGGCGCTGCAGGCGCATCTGGCATCCCCCGGAGGAGGACCAAGGCGTCTGTTTCGCGACCGGAGAAGACTGGTTCCCCAGGAGCGGAGGACGGAAAGGATCCCGGGCGCTGCTACGGCGAACAGGACTGGGGCCGGGCGCTCGGATGCGTTGTGCCTTTCTGGGGAGCAGTGCAGAATCGGGCAGAGTGGCCAGCTTCCGCCAGTGAGCCCTGAGAGGCAGAGACAGGCCCGACGCGCCTTCTCCGGCGGCCCAGCCTGGCAGCTCCGTCGGCGAAGGTAGCGCCTCGCGGAAACTTGGTTGCGGAAGGGGGGAGGAGGCGGGGGCAGCAGAAAAGCCTCGTAGACGCGGCTGTGGACGAGCCCGGGCCTATTAAAGCTGCTCTTCTCGCTTCATCTCTCACACACGGACCCTCCTCGGCCTGGCCCCGCGCGTTAAAAACAGCCCCTTTCCCCAGCCCAGGTGGGTGTCTGAGGGGGACAGAGGGGCGCAGAAGTCGTCCAAGGAAACGAGAGGAGGAAGTTGGACTGCGGGGGGGGGGGGGGAAGGGGGGGGCAGTGAGGAAGACCCCCCCCCTCTCCCCCCGCCGGGGGGGGGGGGGGAGAGAGAGTGAGTCTGCGTGTCTGTGTGTCTGTGTGTGTGTGTGTTCCTGTGTTGCCAGAGGCAGAAGAGGGGCTCTTTCCTCTGTAAAGCAGAAGCAACAGAGGGAGCGAGATCTGTGTCGGAAACCCCAAAATTTACGGACTGGGATGAGCACCAGAACAGCTTACAGACCCCAGGAGATAAAGGGGAGTGTTGCTTTAGGTGCCCCCCTGCAGCACGCCCCTCCTCATTTTGCCATCTTTCCAGCAAGAAAACACGAAGGAAGCAACCACACCCACCAAAAGACCCCCCCCCCCCTCCCCCTCCCCCCCCCCGTTGGGTTTGCCAAGGTAAGAGAAGGGGCCCTTCCGCCTTCGGAAGCAAAAAGCCCCCCCCAACCCCCCCCCTCCAAAGGCTACTAGGATGCCTGGCCACCTCCAGGCCCCTGTGGGCCAGGGGAAGGCAGCCAGGGGGTTGCAACCCAGGTGTGTGTGTGTGTGTGTGTGCGTAGAGGATGTCCCAGGTGGGGTGAAAGTGGCCAAAGAGCACTCTTCCTCCTCCTCCCTTTCATAAGAAGGAGGGATCCTTGGTTGCTGTTAATAGAATTGGACAGGCACAATGGCATTCACACACCACTTTTAACCTGACTCCACTTCCTTAAAAAAAATCATGAAAACAAATGCATGATGTGCAAAGCTACAGGACGAATCCTCTGCGCCAGGCTCACCTATCAGGGCCGCTGCTTGTTCTTGCCCCAACCCTATGGATCCGTATGAACACAGTCAGCGAGCCCCCCCCCCCCAAGAACCAGGCCAGGCAGGAGACCGGAAGTGAGTAGCCCTGGGCTCAGGGCCCCAGCCCCACTCCGTGGCTCCCAAGCACTCTGGGGAAGCTCCTGCTGGGGCTTTGTGGGCTCCTGATGAATCGGGGGCCTTCTCTCCAGTGAGGCTGCCCAAAGGCCATGCAGCTGCCCCCAAGGTGCTCAGCTGTGATTGGAGGCCAGCGCCTCTCCCCCTCCCTCCCCCAAGGGGAGGGTCTCTGCTGCTGCAGCTGTTGGCTGAGAGGCCAGTGCCCGCCCTGGTCCCCTCCCAAGGTGGCCAGCCTTTGCCCTGATCTCTGGAAGCAAAGTCCTGCAGCCGCCTCTGCCCAGCAGGTCACTGACTCAGCCACCCTGTTGACCGAGGCTTCTGGTGGAGGCCAGGGAGCCGGGCGGGGGGGCTTCCTTGGGCTCCTGGTCGCACGGAAGGTAAGTGCGCATCGGGGTAGCAGGGCCTGGGCTGTGCATGGGGGGGGGGTTCTCCTCCCACACGCCATGCTGGGCGGGGGGGGGAGGGTACTGCTCCCCCCCCCCCCGCTGAGAAGCGCCAGTCTGGTTTCCAGAATTCTGAGACAAGGAAATGCAGGAAAGTGCCTGGGAAGCTCCCAAAGACCCCCCACCCACCCCAAGCTGGTCTCCTTTGGGCCCTTCAGCCGCACCCCTTGTGCCTTGTGGTCTCGCTTGGGGGGGGGAGCGGGATGGACTGCTGCTCCTTGTCCGCCGTTCAGTGCAACTTCCAGTCACCCGCCCCCCCAAGTCCTAAGGCCCTGTACGGGATGCAGCCCCAAATCCCCCCTGGGCCAGGGATGCCTGGGAAGGGCGGGTGGGAGGGGGTCATCCTTGGCTTCCTCCCTGCTGAGTGGAGCCGGAGGGATTTCCCCGAGGGGCTCTGGCCTGAGGCCCAACCAAAGGAGAAAGGATGCCATTATAAGGGAGGTATCCTGAACATGCGGAAGTCAGCAAGACGGAAGATTTGTGGTCAAGGGCTTATTGAATGAATCCCTTTCATTAAGTGCTTCAATAAACAAACATCCTGGGGTTGGAGGGGACTTTAAAGGCCATCTAGACCACTGCCAGCTCTGTGCAGGATCCAACGGTGCATCTATGACCGGCGCTCTCCATCCCCTGAAGTCCCTCTCCTGAGGCTGCCTGTCCCACGGACACCTGGCTGGAAGAGTCGGCATGAGCTCCTTCCTGGGGCCTTTGAGCCGCTACTTCTGACTCTCCAGCCATGGGGATTCCCTGCAGGGTCGCATCTCCCCCCCCACCCTCACACCTTGGATGGGCTGAGCACTCCTAGAGCCACGCAGGGCTTGGTCTGTGGTTCTCTCCTCGTCTTGGTAGACTTCCTCCAAGCTGGCACCAGTGGGCTGGTGCCCTTTGCCCAGACTGTGGGGCCCTGAGCTGCACCTGTATTCCAAGCAGCACCTGGGCAGGGCAGAGGGGCACAAGGGCTCCTCCAGGCAGGCTGTTTTGCAAACCCTCCCAGGGTTTGTCCAGCAGCTCTTTCAGTTCGGGAGGCCTGGAGGGGGGGGGGAATGGAGTGAGGACAACTTGCCGAGCTGGCAGTAGCTGATTGGCCGCAGCCAGGGGTCCTATTTCAGCCTTTGGGACCCCCAGACCAGCCCCATTGCTTGGCCCCTTGCCTCTGGAAGATGGGAGAGAAGGGACCCCCCACCGGGACCCCCTTGGGGGCCTGCACCCCCTGCCAGCATTCTCCCTGGGCCCAGCCCCATCGCTCTCGCCTGCTGGGCCTCAGGGCAGCTTCCCTCCAGCTGATTGGCTGGATTCCCACTGCAGGGAACCTTGTCTGGAGGTCCCTTCAGCCTGGGGGGCGGGGGTGGGGGGAGCAAAATGGACAGGCAGCCCCTTGCCTGCCTCACCTTTCAGAAGCAACATATTGGGAGCTCACCGGCGGGTCCCACTGGCTGAGGCTGATGCAGCAGAGGTGGCCCTGCAAGTATCTCCTGCCCTCCCGGACGCTTTGCCTAGGAGGAGGAGGGGGAGGAGGTTTTATCCCGTCATTTTGCATAGAGTTGACAGGGGAGACCAAGCCCGGCCCCGGGAGGTGGGCTGGGCTGGGAGAGAGGGACTGGGCCCAAGTCTCCTGGTTCCTAGGCACGTTCACACCACGCCAAACAGGCTCAGGTGGCTGCCTTTAAGGGCCACTTGGGAAGGCCACGGGCTGGGCGTCTCCTATCGGTGGTGGGTGGGAGCAGGCGGCCCTCCTGGCGCCCGGAGCCTTCCAGGCGCAGCTTACGGTGCTGAGACTCACAGCCCCTGCTCGGCTGGCCAACATTGGCCCGACCTGTGGGGCTGGGCTGAGGCGCAGAGGGGCTGCTTTCCTGGAACAGAGCCGGTCCCTGCAATGCCCACCTGCCCGCTTTTAGCCGAGTCGCCCCCTTGGCGACTTTTCTGGAAGCTGCTGTACCAGATGCGGCATTTCCAGGACAGTCTTTGGAAGCGTTTGTATGCTTCCCGGTTTCACTCAGGCTGTGGGTGTCTGGGTGACTTTTGCATCACCGCAAAGCCCCCGAGAGTCCCGTGGGGGAGCGACAGACGGAGTCCATCTGCTGCCACGAGCCGAGGCGCCCCCAGTCCCGGATCTCCCCTGCCCCAGGTCGCCTTACTCCCCCTCCCCTGGGCAGCTCAGGAGGGGCTTCTCAGCCAAGGCTGGGCGAGGGCAGAGTCCCACCCGTCTGACGGCGGCGCTTCTGCTTTTCCTCCGCAGGCAGAAACGATGCCCGGCCGGCCCGGCCTCCTGCTGCTGCTGGCCTTCTCGGTGCTGGCCCCGCCGGGGAGCGCCGCCTCCGCCCGCCTGTCCTCGTGCCGCCGCTTCGGCGGCGCCACCGTCTTCTGCTCGGGCCGAAACGTCTCGGGCGTCCCGGAGGAGCTGCCCCCCGAGGCCACCCGGCTGCTCTTCGTGGGCGCCTCGCTGAGCTCCCTTCCCTGCCGCGCCTTCGCCCCGCGCAACAACGGCAGCAGCGGCGGCGGCGGCCTGCGCCAGCTCGCCTTCCTGGACTGCCCGCTCCGGACGCTCCCGGGCTGCGCCTTGGCGGGGCTGCCGCGGCTGCGGGAGCTGGACGTGGCCCTCGCCCAGCTGGCCGGCCTCCCCCGCGGGGCCCTGCTGGGCTTGGGCCGCCTGAGCAAGCTGGCCGTCCGCCACAGCCGGCTGGAAGCGCTGGAAGAGGGGCTCTTCGACGGCACCCCGGCGCTCCAAGCGCTGCAGCTGCAGGGCAACCGGCTGACGACGCTGCCCCCGCGCCTCTTCCAGCCGCTGCCCGGCCTCCAGGCGCTCTCGCTGGCCCAGAACCGGCTGGCCGAGCTGCCGGCCGAGACCTTCCAGCCGCTCCTGCGCCTGCGCGAGCTCCGGCTGAGCGACAACCTGCTGAGGCGCCTCCCGCCGCGGCTCTTCCGCCCTCTGGCGGCGCTGCGGGAGCTCTTCCTGGACGGGAACCGGCTGGCCGAGCTGCCCCGGGGCCTCTTCGCCGGGCTGGGCCGGCTGCGGCGGCTGCACCTGCAGCACAACGCCCTGGGGCGCCTGGAGCCCCCCGGCCTCTTGGCGGGGCTGCCCAGCCTGGCTTTCCTGCTGCTGCAGGACAACCAGCTGGCCCGGCTGCCCGCGGGGCTCTTCCGGGGGACGCCCCGCCTGGTGGAGCTCTCCCTGGCCCGCAACCGGCTCCGGGACCTGCCCGCGGGGCTCTTCGGCAACCTCTCGGAGCTGTCCGTCCTCAGCCTCGCCCACAACCGGCTGGGCCGCGTGGCTGCCGGCACCTTCCGGGGCTTGGCCGGGCTGGGCCGGCTGCAGCTGCGCCACAACGCCCTGGCCGTCCTCCCCAGGGCGGCCTTCGCCAACCTCAGCAGCCTGGAGGCCTTGGACCTGGCCCACAACCGGCTGGAGAGTCTGCCCGAGGGGCTCTTCGACGCCAACGAGGCCCTGGTCAGCCTGGCTCTGGAGGGCAACCCCTGGCGCTGCGACTGCCACCTGGCCCCCCTGGCCGCCTGGCTGAGCTCTCTGGACCACCCGCTTGGCGCCCGGGTCCTCTGCCGGGCCCCCGCCCCCTTGGAGGGCAGGACTCTCCTGGCTGCCAGGGAGGAGCAGCTCCTCTGCCCCTGCCAACCTGGCAGTGCCCGCTGCCGAGTGGATGCTCCGCCCCCCACGGAAGAGACAGGCGCCCTGGACCGGGATGCCTAAGAGGCGGCCGGCACCCTGCAGTCCCCCCACCCACCCACCCCCCGGGGCAGAGGGGGGCCAGGAGGGGGACGGGTTGGGGGACAAACCCTGGCCTGGTGGTCTTCTACTGGACAGCCGGATACGATCTGACAGCGCCCCCTCTGGGCTTGAGAAAGGAGGGGGGGCGGCGGCAGAGCGGCAGGCGCGGATCAGGCATCACCGATCTCAAGTGCTGCAAGATCCAGGCCTGGGAGCCCCCAGGAAGCGCCGATCCTGGACCAGCTCCTGCAACAGAGGCAGCCTCGCCCCGCCAGGCCCCGGTCCTCGGGCTCCTTCCAAGGGCGGATCGCTGGCTTCGGTGCTGCGTCTGCCATCGGTGGAGGCTGTTGGAGAAGAGCCTGGGGGAGGGTCCTGCGCCCCTTTCGGCACCCCCCCCCCAGGTTGCCTTTTCCCTTTGGGGACGGCCCTGAAGACCCCCCCCCATTTATAGTTCTTTTTGCTTTCTGCAGATTTCACACATATTTATATGTTGCTAGGAGGGTTGAGGACTTTGATGTTGGTGTGCTTGTTGCGTACCTGTTGCAGGGGCTGAGTGAAACCCCGTCCAGCGTTTAATCCAACCCGAGTGCATGTGACGCGTTTTGCATAAACCAATAAAGCATTAGAGTTATTACCTGTCTTCCCCTCCAAAACTCTCTTCCTCCCCCCCCAAAAGGCGCTGGGTACAGACAGACCTGCCCTTGGTCTCCCTTACACTGACCATTAGGTCCCTTGGGCCTTTCCCATAATCTGGCCCTGGTCACTGAGCCCCCCCCCAAGAGCGACTCTCTCTAGTTTGGGCCCACGGAGTAGCTGAGGGCCCCCGACTAGGGAACCCCTTAAGGAAGAGGGAGTCCCTGTTCCTGCCTGCCTCTCCCTCAAGAGTTGCAGGGAAAAGGTGCTTTTCCCAAGAGGCAACTGGACTTTCTGGGTATTTTTAAAGCCACCTGGAGCCTTAAGGACTCTCCAGTGGGATGCAAAGGACCAGCTGTCTGCAAGGAGTGTCAGTCCTTCCCTTCCCCACCATCCGTTCAGAGCTGAAGAAACCCCTTGGATGAGAAGCGAAAGGTCTTCACAGAAACCCCTGAAAGTCCAGTGGCCTCTTGAAAGAAAGCCCCTTTGGGACAAGCGGGACCTGGGGGGCTGAGAACCTCCCTACACGCGAGGAGGGCAGGGACTGTGTTGGGGTGCTGGCCCTGCTTCTGGGGAGATGAGGGCTCCCTTGGCTAGGAGGCCTCGCTCTTCCTTCTGCTCAGCTTGGGCAGCTCCTGCTGGCTCAGGGGGCTCTCTGCCCTGTGGAGAGTGGGTGCCAAGGGAGGGACGCTTCCTCTGCCCAGCCCAAGGTGCGCCTCGGGCGGAAGAGCGCAGAGCCACCAGCAGCGTCCCTGGGGCTGCTCAGCACCTCTCGCTGCTTATCAGGCCAAACCAGAGAGCAAAAGGTGTCTTGGGTTGCACCCAGATCTCCTCCACCCTCCTGAGGCGTCGCTGGAGATAAGGGGCCCCTATCCCTCGGCAGCCCATCTGGATCAGGACAGATTCTCCAGGGAGGGGAGGCGCATTCTCAAGACCTCCTGCTATCCTGGCCAGCGAGGAGTTCCAGGGGCTGCTCAGCAAACAGGTGCGTCCTCTTAAGACCTGTGGGGAGGCCCTGGAGGGAAGGATGGGCAGCCTGCGTCCCCTTTGCAGGAGGGGCCAGATGCGCCCTTTGGGTCTGGCTGGCTGTGGCTGCAGCAGCAGAGCCAGAGGGAGGACGGGGACCAAGAATCTGTCGGAAGGGTTGCATAATTGATCCCAGGGGCCCTCGGAGTTAGGAGGCTGCATTGCAGAGAGCGCTGGTAGGCGCAGGGGATACTTTGAAAAAGGCTCAGGGCTGTTGGTCTCTTCCAGCATGTGGCTCAGGGCCACCCTCCTCCTCCTCCTCCTCCTCTTCCGGACCGGCCAAGGGAATCAGGGTTGCAGTGGCACCCCGAACGAGAGCTGCCCCTTTCAAGAGGTCTACACGAGGGCCCGAGATATCGCAGAGATCCCCAAGTCAGTAGCTCCCATTATCACGGAAATGTTCTTTGTGGACACCAGCATTGTAGAAATTAGGCAGGGAGCCTTCGCGAACATGTCTAACCTGGTGAAAATTGTGTTCCTAAACAACAAGATTAAAAGAGTTGAAGCGGGAGCATTTGAGAACTTGGAGAACTTGGTGGATCTGGAAATCACCGGGGCTGAGTTAGGGGATCTCCCCGTGGGCACCTTCCGCTCCCTGGATCGCTTGCGGAAAGTGAACCTGAGGGACTCCCGGATGAGAAGGATCGAGAAAGGGCTGTTCGACGGCCTTGGGGACTTGGAAGAGGTCTACCTGCATCGGAATGAAATCGGGTCTCTCCCCGGTGGGGTTTTTGATGGGCTCCCTAAACTCTCCTTGTTACATTTGGGGTGGAACCAGATTTCCAACGTCTCACAGGATCTCTTCAAGCCCCTGACCCAGTTGAAGACTCTCCGGTTGCAGAATAACCAGGTCGGGAGTCTAGGGGCGGGGACTCTGGACAGCCTGCAGCAGCTGGTGGAGCTCAACCTGGAGAGCAACAGGCTCCAGACTCTCCTGCCCAACTTGCTAAGCCGGCTGGTCAACCTGGAGAGGATTTTTCTGGACAAGAACTCGATTGAAGTTCTCCCCCATGAGACCTTCCTTGGACTGGGAAAAGTGAAGCAGCTGAAAATGGCGTCCAACCGCCTGAAAGCCTTCCCGGCCTTGGGGGCCATGCAGCTGCTGACGGAGCTGGACCTGAGCAGAAACAGGATCTCCACCCTGGAGAATTTGGCGGGGGCTTCTCTCCCGTCCCTGACGACTCTCAAGCTCCAGGGAAACCAGCTGGAGACCCTCCCCACGGGTTACTTGGACCACCTGGGAAAGCTCACCTCCCTGTATCTTGGAGACAATCCGTGGAGGTGCGACTGTCACCTTCTCTACCTCCATCAGTGGATGAAGATGAATGCTAAAAGGATAAAGGATGCCAAGAAGTTGGCCTGCAGAAGCCCAGGAGGCCTGGCTGGCAAAGAAGTGGGCTCCCTGTCAAGAGACCAGCTGGTCTGTTTAACAACCACCCCCACCTTCAAGGCCACCTTCAAGGCCACCCCGTTGCCCACCTCCGCTTCTCCACCTGCCACCCTGGCAAAGAGAAACACAACCGGCACCTCAGCTCAGCCCCCCGCGCTGCAGAAGGCCCCCACCACCACATCTCAGCCCCCTCCTACGAAAAGCGCACAAACCGTGGTTCCCGGCGGCCCTACACCCCCCCCCACGAGCACCCCAACCCCAACTCCCAGCTCTCCCCTCACCCCCCCTCAGAGTCCCACCTCAGCCAGGACAAGCCCTGAAGTCACAAGCCATCAAGCCACAACTTCCACGAGTCCTTCAACCACAGACAAAGACACCACAACGGTCTCTGAGATTTCTTCCACAACCCCTGAAATAATTTCCACGACTTCTCCAACCACAACCAAAGACGCCACAACTGTCACTGAACAGCCTTCCACAACTCTACAAGCCACAACTTTCACGGCTTCTCCAACCACAACCAAAGACGCCACAACTGTCACTGAACAGCCTTCCACAACGTTACAAGCCACAACTTCCACGACTTCTCCAACCACAACTCAAAATGCCACAACTGAAATTTCTTCCATAGGCTACCAGTTCACCTCTTGTACAGATACTCTGACCCCAGATGCTGGACCGGGTACCCGAACCACGGAAACCACTGCGCCCTGGGACACTCCCACCAAGACCCCCCCCACTGCTCTGACTAACATCAGCTCAGCAAGATCCTATGCACCATTTATAGTCCCCAGGAGATCCACCGCAAGCCAGGACACACCCACTCGCACTCCTGTGACTGCCACGTCACCTGTGTGTCGCTCCAGGCCCTCTTTGCCGGACCCATCCTCCAGGCAAGTGATGACTGTGCCCAGCCCCACAGCCCCCAGGGCGATGCTGGCACAGACGCCCGCTGCAGGCTCAGCCCTGGCACCTCCCTCTGCCCCAGGCCTCCCCCTTTGCCCTTCCTCTCCTCCCCCTCCCTGGCCCCGGAGTGTTGGGAGCCCCCTTCCCCTCCCCAACCGGCCTGCCCTCCTGCCACAGCACCAGGCCTGGGGCTCCCTGCTGAGCTCCAACTCCTGGTATTGCCGCGTGTTCCTCCCGCTTTACCTTTCCATGCTCTCTGTGGGCATCTTCTGTGCAGTCGCCTTGGGGCGCCTGGCATACACACTCCACAAAGCCACGGAGTCGGTCCAGCTGCCTCCCCGGCTGGTGAGGCTGGTCCACGTCAAGGCCAGGCGAGGGAGGGAGTGACGGGTGGGGGCAGGAAAGCAGCCCTGCCACCTCCCACCCCTCTTGCCTCATGGGGCGCCCCCCCCCCGGGACCCAGGGCAAGGTGCCCTGTGCTGGGCTGCTTCTTGCTAGTACCGCCACCTCCTGGGCCCCAGATGGAGAAATGGAGTCTACCCACTGCAGCCCTACCTGGAACCAGAGGGCCTTTCTCACCCTCTCCACCACCACGTGGTGGGGCTATTCTGATGCACTTGTGGCAGTAAAAGATCTCCCACACCACAGACAGGGATGCTCCCACCCCACTCCCTATGAACTGCTGAAGGTGCCCCCGCACCCTCACCAGGAAACCTCTGCAGCCAGAGGATTAACCCCGAGTGGTGACAGGAGGACGAACCGGCCAGGCGTTGGGGGTCCAGGGAAGCAGGCTGCTTCTATTCTCCGGCCAGGCGTATCTCGGAGCCTTCCTAAGGACGAGGCCACAAGGGTGGACTTATCTAAGGCTGTCCTTCCACCCGGTCGGCCTGTTCCTTTGCAATGCAGCCCAGGAGGCAACAGGTAGAGAAGCTCCCCCTTTTGGGTCAAGGCTTTTGGGTCAGCAAGCGCCAAAACCGTGGGAAGGAGGGCCCGGGGCACACTGCACGCATGCTGATCAAAAGGGTGCGATATCTTCAAAATGAGTTGGTTGTTTAGAGAGGCCGCAGCCTACCGACTGTGGGGATGGGATTGACGAGCACTCAATGCTTGGCTTGGTCCAAAATATGCCGGCCTAATTATTGGCCAACCAATAATTGCCTGCACCCTGAGCCCCCACTGGGGTCCCATGGAGGGCAGTTCCAGTGTTGGGGGTCACCTGGGTGGGTTGAGATGTATCCTCTCCTTTGGATGGTGCGATTTTATGCTTTCTCTATGTTGCTTTTTTGGTTTCCTGCATTTTATTGCTGGAAACCACTGAAAGTGTTGGGAGTGCAGAAACTTTGACAAATAAACAAGCAAGCGCCTGGGATTAATCCCACCTGGGTGTTTTCGGCTGCTCTTTGGTGTCAGGCAACCAAGGGGACAATCCTTAATCGGCTTACAGAGGGAATCTGTCCTCCAGCCTGGCCCAACGCCCAGAATGCCCAGAATTGTGTGTGGTTCCCACCCTGAAGCTGTTCTGAAAGGCCGAAATAGAACAGAACAGAACAGAACAGAAAACAGAATAAAATAGAACAGAAAACAGAGGAGAATAGGACACTTTATTTGGCCAACTGTTTGGGGTGGGAAAGCAGGTGAGTTCTGGGTTGCTTCCTGTAGTTTTTCTGGACACTCATCCTTTGCTCCTTTATTCTGGTTTTTTTTTTTAATATAACATAAGCACCCAGAGATGTTGGGAGTGTATTTGCTATGTAAAGTAAGATAGATAGATAGATAGATGATAGATAGATAGATAGATAGATAGATAGATAGATAGATAGATAAGATAGATGTAGGTAGGTAGGAAGGTAGAGAGAGAAAACTAATCTCTGAGCATGGGTGGGGGGGCTGCCTTTGCAGAGCCAGCCTAGCGCTGGAGAAGCGGCCTGAAACGTCTTCCGGGGGCCACTTTCCCGTCCAGAGCCAAGGAGCGGAACGGTGGCAGAGCCCAGGACTTCTTGGGCAGAAACTTGGCCGGGAGAAGCTGCCTCCAAGGAAGGCCGTCGGCCAAGGCGACGAGCGTCCCGCCCTGGTTGGAAATCAGCTCAGGAAGCCGCGGCGGGCCTTGCGGCGGGCCCGGCCAAGTGGCGGCGGGCAGTCGGGATCAGCGGGACCGGGGAGGAAGGCGTGAAAGGAGGGAGCCCGGCAAATTCCGCTTCACTGTCCCGTCTTCAAGGCGGGAGGCGGACCTGAGCTCGGGCGCTCCCCTTCCAGCCTCCCCTCGGGAATTCGGCGCTCCGACCCGCCGCCCGGTGAGCCTTGGGCTGCGCGGCCGCAGCGCCTCTCCCTCTGGCTGCTCCCCGAAGCGTCGGGCCCGGGCTCGCCCGCTCCCCCGCCAGCTGCGGAGACCCTCCCGGCCTTCCAACCGAGGCCTCGCCTGCCCCGAAGAGCTGGCGGGGGGCAGCTGCCGCTCTTTCTCCGGACTGGAGCTGGGGAGGTCGACGGGCCGCCGCCAACCGTGGAGCGCCTGAGACGGAAGCCGAAGCCTTCGCCGCGGAGGAGCGGAGGGCGCCCGTCGCTCCTTCAGCCAACCAAGCGGCGGGTGTCCGTAGGTGTGGGCCGGAGGTTGCCGCGCCTTGCCCGGGCCCTTCTCGCTCGGGGCCACCTCTCGTTTTCGGCCTTCAGCTCGCGGGTCCCGTCGCGGCTCCTCTTGCCGGCAGCCGGCAGGTGGCGCCAGCGTCCAGCTCTGGTGGCCGCTGGAGGGCGCGGCTGGGGCCCAGGGCGGGGCTGCCAGGCGGTTTTCCCGCCAGACCGGGGCCGCCCGCTCCCACCGCCGGGCTCCGCTCGGGGCGGGGCGCCTCTTCCTTGCCCGGAGAGCCGCTGCTTTGGAGGTGCCTGAAGAACGCGGCTTGCTTCGCCCAATGCAGGCCGAGACTTTGACTCTTGTTCTTGCTTGTCCTTCGGCATGTTGTGGAAACACGCAGCAGTTGGGACGCGAGGAAAGGGGTCTCCGCGTTTTCCAGGAGCCATTCCGGCCTTTAGAAGGAACCCGGTGGAGGCCTCGGCGTTTCCTGGCTGTCCCCCCCGCTGCCTGTGCACCGCACACAGCCGCCCCGTCCCTTCGCCTGCGCCCTTCGGCCTCTCATTGGCCAAGCAGGGAGACCCTCCCTGGGTTGCTTCTTCCGCTCGGGGGGCGGGGGGGGGGAAGCGCGCCCGCGCGTAATGAGGCAGGCGGGATGCTCCTGGCGGCGGAGATGGGCGGCGCTGGGGGCTGCAGGGGGGCTGGCTGGCCTACCTCACAGGGCAGAGCTGCAGCTGGCATCTTGCCCAGGACCTTCCCAGAGAGGCTCAAATCCTCAGCATGGACGGAGGGGGAGGAATTAGCTCACCATCCCCAAGGCTGTCTCCTGGGGGTGGGGAAGAGGGTTGCCACGGAGACAGGCCAGGAAATCCCCTTCGATGTTTCGGCTCCTGCCGGTTAAGATGTTCTCCTTTTAAGTGGGGGCTTTCCCCCCCTTAATAGGGTGCCACAAGCTTCCCTCTTAGGCCCAGGACTCTTCAATATCTTCATTAACGACTTAGAGGAGGGACTAGAAGGGGAACTTACCAAATTTGCAGATGATACTCAGCTGGCAAGAATAGCCAACACCCAAGAAGATAGGCTGAAGATCCAGATGGATCTTGACAGACTAGAACACTGGGCCGTATCTAACAAAATGAAATTCAATGTAGAGAAAAGTAAAGTCCTACACTTAGGCAAGAAAAACCCAAAGGACACATCTAGACTGGGTGAAACCAGGCTCAATAGCAGGAACTGGGAGAGGAATCTTGGAGTCTTAGTGGACAACCAGCTAAATGGGAGCCAGCCGTGTGCAGCAGCAGCCAAAAAAGCCAACACAATCCTAAGTTGTATTAACAGAGGGATACAATCGAGATCAAGGGAGGTACTAATACCACTCTATATAAAGCCTTAGCAAGGCCACACCTAGAGTCCTGCATCCAGTTATGGTCGCCACACTATAAAAAAAGATGTTGAGGCTCTAGAAAGAGTGCAGAGAAGAGCAACCAGGATGATGAGGGGACTGGAGGCTAAAACATGCGATGAATGGTTGTAGGAACTCAGCAGGGCTAGTCTAGGGAAGAGAAGGACCAGGGGAGACAGGAGAGCATCTTCCAATATTTGAGGGGCTGCCCCAGAGAGGAGGAAGGAGTCAAGCTATTCTCCAAAGCACCCAAAGGCCAGACAAGGAATAATGGATGGAAACTGATAAAGAGAGTTTCAACATAGAAATAAGGGGATTTTTTTTGACAGAACAATCAACCAATGGAACAGAAATTGCCCTCAGAAGTTGTGGGAGCGCCATCACTTGAGACTTTCAAGAAGAGATTGGACTGCCATTTGTCAGAAATGGTGTAGGGTCTCGCGCTTGGGCAGGGGGTTGGACTAGATGACCTACAAGAGTCCCTTCCAACTCTGATTATCTGTTATCTGTTATGGCAACCATGGTTTAAGAGCTATTTTTTCCCATGGGTAAAAGTCCTCCTTAAAAGAAGCCATTTCTGAATTTTACCTGAAATATATAGTAAAGATTTGAAATGCCTGATCGTAAATGTATTAACAGCGGCTAGGATTGTATTTGCTAAAAAGTGGAAAAATGAGAAAATACCATCACAGGAGGAAATTATTAAGAAAATATTGGAATGTGCTGAAATGAGCAGATTGACATTTGAAATTAGAGAACAGGATGATAAACAATTTTATAAAGTTTGGGATCTATTCTATCAATAAAGTATAGTAACGAAATATGTAGACTTGTAGAAAATACTAAATATATAAAGATGTATTCTTTTCTTATTATATCTACAAAATGATTTTAGGATAGATTTGGGATGATAATATGAATTGTCACAAAACAAATTAAGTAAAATATGATTATTTTCTAAAGCATGAATGAATAAGAGTATAGTCAAATTGTTGCAATATCACCCAATGATCCAATGATACCATACCTGCCAGGTAACACGTGTAAAGCTATGATTGGTCAACATAGGTATTACCTTATATGGTCAGTATTACCTTATATGGTCAGTATGCCTTATATGGTCAGTTTCCTTATATGGTCAAATATGCAAATACATAGCCTTATATGGTCAAATGTACCCAAAAGGAATGTTTCCTCATACACCCTAAACCCCACCCTAAACTTGCACAATAAAAGAGAGGGGCAAAGTTTGCTCTGGGCTTCCTCCCCCAAGAACATGCCTTTGTGTCCTTGTCTTCATTGCCTCTGCGAGAGAAGCCCGTCCGGGCAGTCGGTCCGGGCGTGGGCTACCAGCTGACCCCTCATCCCTGCAGTGGGACCAGCAACGCATCACAAATGATTGATTAATAATGATACCAATGTATTTAATATTGGATTGAAAATATGAGATCATATACAATGTAATTGTAATTGAAGACTACGAAATGGAAGCACAAAACAATTTGTAAACCAACCGGCACACTGGATGTACATATATGGAAGATGGCCTGATGTTTTTATGTTTTGTTTGTTTATGTTTGTTTTAAAAACCAATAAAAAATAATTAAAAGAAGCCATTTCTGGGTGACCGACGGGTGGGAGGGGGCTCTGGGAAGTCATGGGTGGTCTTCCAGAACTTAGTCTGGGGTTAGGGTTAGAACCACCCCTCCCCCGCTTAAGAGTGGCTTGTCCAAAGCCCTTTTCTGTAGGAAAGGAAGTTGCTCTGCGTGACCCTATCGCCCTGGCCAGGGCTTGGCGCTGCTCACAGGGGGCTTAAGCAGGCCAGGTCGAGCCCAGCCATGGAGGCATTGCATCTGCCATTCCTGGCTAAGGGTGAGAAGCCCTGGGGCCGGGGTGGGAGGTGGGGGGCAGTTGGCCAGGGTGGAGTTGCAGGGAAACTGGCTGTGAATCCTCTGGCGGGGGGGGGGGGCTTTGCGGGGGGGGGGGGGGTGGGGGGGGGGGAATTGCAAGAGAGAAATGGGGCAGGAGAGCTTGGGGTGATCCCCAGCTGGTGA